CGGAAGGGCTCGGAGGATGCTCCGGCAGGGAGATGGCTGGGCAGGAGACCGGGTGATGGGAGCCATCCCCTAGGAGCACATCATCTCCCTTCTCTCAGGCATTTTCCTTGCTTATCGTAAAATTAAAATCTTTCTCCACACCAGATCCCCCTGGGAGGTGTGTAGAGGCAGGCAAGGGAGAGCTACAATGAAGGCAGCTGGCACCTGGAGAGTGGCTGGCATGTCCCCGTGCAGGGGACACCAAATCGGCCAGGTCCTCGAGATGGAAAAGCATCTCCATGTTGAAGGCTGGAAGCCAGGCAGCTCCTTTTCTCCTTTCCAGCATTCGCTGTCCAGATGCGCTGCCTCTGAACACCCCTCACGGATGTTACCAAGGGGTTAGAAAGCCCCAGGAGCCGCACGCTGGGAAGATGTTCCTTCCCACAGCTGTGCAGAGGCTGGAAATCTTCAGCTCACAGCCTCATTAATGCAATAAAGCTCAGAATTTTAGGAGGACAATGGCCCAAACCTGGCTAAGAGACATGCCCAAGCGCTTGGGGATTTTAAGGCATTATAAGGAATTTGGTTCTGGCACATTTACTGCAAAATTGTATTAAGACCCAGCTCCAGGCATGACGGGGAGGTGATGCATAGAGCTCAGCCCAGCACAGCCCCCAGCCTGAGGACAATAATTAAATTATCATCTTTATATATAGTGCTATAATTAAATGCCCAATAATCACGAGGGCTTTCAGCAAAATGTGATCTGAAGGCCTGATCCTGTAGAGAAAGAGATGATGCTCCTGAGGGGAATCAATGGGAGGGGTGGACTTGAGGAGCCGCGTTCCCCCAGGGCAGCCCCAGGGGGGACCGAGGGGGTTGCGGAGGGGCCCAGTGGATACCTGTGAGCACTCGGTGCCCGGTTGCCGCAGGAGCTTGACGGTCCGGCCACCGTCGGTCCGCTGGCTCCGGCCATCGTGCCAGGTGAGGCTGCTGCCCGGGTTCCTATGCAGACGGTAGCTGATGTTTTCAGCTGAGACCGTGTGCTCCAGGAGGCTGCGACAGAAGCTGAAGTGAGCGGCGGCGGCAGCTGCGGAGGGAAGGTAGGGTGAGAGATGCCCCTGGTGTCCCAAAAACCTTTCCTCTACCCCACTGGACCTGCTACACTCGGCTGTACCCTCTGCTGCCAAAATCTCCCCGCTCCTGCCTTCCCTTTCCATTGTCGAGGAGAAAACCCAACAGTGCATGAACCCACCAGCGAGATGTTTGCCCACATGAACGCCTTGCAAGTGACACTTTTTTTGACACCCACCAGCTGAGCAGATGTGGGGATCTACCACTGATTTTGCCGCATGAGTACGACCCCCTGCTCGTCCCCACTGGGCAAGACCCCAGGAGCGGGCGAAGGGGAAGAGCTTCTTCCCATGGAGCGGGCTGATACTGAGGGGTGGGAGCAGATAAAGTCCGTTCTGGGCAGCCCAATGGAGAAGGGGACGCAGGTTGGTCCCCCCCAGCACAGACCATGGATGCTCGGGGATGGCTGCTGCCCCGCACAACCCTGCACGCCCAAGTGACAGCCAAACACACACCAGCACATCAGCGACAAGCCACGAGGAGGCATTGACCCGCAACAAGTAGGGTTTTGTCCCTCACTTCTTGTGATTTCATAAGCTGGAGGTATTTGGGTTGCGATGAGGATGCAAAGCTTTCCTTTGGAGGGAGGTTGAAGGGACCCGGCTGCTGTGGGGGGCGGATGGGGGGGCATTAGGGGCTCACGCGCCCGTCTGCTCCGGATAAAAGCCAGCTGGCTTGACATAAGAAGCGCTGATCTGTAGAAGCAAAGACCAGAGCATCCCCCAGCTCACCTGCTCCCACCACAGCAAACCGGGCAAGTTGAAATCTCCCCAAGGAGATTTATCTCCCAGGATAACCCACGCTGGGAGAGCGGAAGGGCTGGAGAAAACCTGCTCATTTTCATAATTAGTGGGTTTGAAGAAGGAAGAGATTTCAGAGGCCTTCTGAGCACATCTTCAGGGAAGAGGAGCCCACTGACCAAAAAGAAGTCAAAATGGAGCAGGAAGTGGTTGTCAATGTGTCCGTGTGTCGCAGGTTACCCAGACCACATCACACCACCTTGCTCCTTAAACACAGCCAACCACAAGCATTGCCATGGGGAAACTGAGGCAGAGGACCAGCCTGACTTCTGGGGAAGTGATTTGAGAGAAAAGGGAGATCCATCCACAGCGAGGCTTGGTGTGGAGCAGAGACAGGGCTGGCAGGGGTGGTCTCTGCGCCTGTCTCGGGTGATGGGGATGTCTCCAAAGGTTTCCTATAGCCTCAGGCACCCCGGGGGCAGATATGGACCTGGCAGGTGAGGAGGGGCTGGTGCCAGAGCTGTGTCTTTCAGCTGTGCCGGGGCTTCCCCAGGAGGGAGCAGAAAGCCTCAGTGAGGGAGCGGCGGGGAACGAGGCTCTGGCCACCATTAAGACCTATATCCATAAGGGACTGTAGAGCATCTGCTGCTGCCCACTGCAGGATGTGGGCATCGCCGCTCCCCCAGCAAACAGGGCTGGAGGCGAGAGAGCCGGAGTGAGAGCAGATGGGAAAGGGGGGGAAAGGCAAAGGGAAAAACAAGCCCGAGAAGAAAGGCAGGGCCGGGAATGCCAGTGGCACCGCTCCTGTCAGAGGCAGGCACCTGCTGCCCTGGAGCCCAGAGCCCCCAGCAGCCCCCCTGGCAGCTCCTCTGCAGCCTCCTGCTCTCCCAGGGTCCCAACTTTGCCAT